AATTTGGGTGCAAATAAATAGGGAAATAAAATTATCGGGCATATAATTGAAGATTTTAGAGTGACAGACTAAAATCCTCAATTCGGTCCTATCGTTTGGGTGCTGAAGTGTAGATGTTAGCCCTCAGGCGAGGGGAACGTGGGAGCTCCGAAGTGAGAGCCGGTATCCTCCCATCCTAGCCGCAGATTCAGTAAACAAGCGTAGGATTAGTCAATGTTCTTTATGCCTGGATCAAAGGATAAAGAATATGCATGCTCCTATTTGCACAATATAATTTGAACTGATTCATTTTATCAATTCACTATAATTTTTTGACAAGGAGAATGATGTTTTCTTATATATTGAATATCACATTTGAACCTTCATGACTATAGTTAGTTATTTAATAGTAATTAAAATTACATATTTATCTATAGTTAGTTATTTAATAGTAATTAAAATTATATATTTATTTCAATTGCCTATTAGTGACAGATAAGCAAATTGAACTTCGTTGTTGTGATTAAAGTATTGCTTTTCTAAAATCTTAGTTTGTAGTTCTAATATTACTCCCTGTGGGATCGATATCTAGGACTCCATTAGAACCCTATATTACTTGAGTGATACATATACTTGCGTTGATAAATGTGACTTTGCAATTATTGAATATTTATTATGTCCATATTTATCGAATCTATAACTGTTATTGAGTTTTGGTACAATTGCTGAGGAATTAAATCTTTTAGCAGCAGTATTAAATACTTATATTTTTGAGCATATAAAAGTCGCGGTCACTCTTCCTGTGCTGTTTTCTGTTATCTGGCAGAGTCAGACTTCAATATGGGCATTGGCATAAATTCAGCAACTCTGCCTTTACTCGGCTGCACCTCTTACCACAGACCCCCATCAATTTTTGGAAACCCATGACTCCACAATTTCGAGTGGATGCCTCAGTTTTTACTTTTCCTACAACAACTATGACACTTGGCTTTTATGGCTTACTAACTTAATGCTCTGCCGCCATGTTGCTTCTGATTTTCTTTACAGGTCCTTCTAACATGCTATGAGCTGCAGTTATCTCGCTTCTTTGATGACTCCACCTGCTTTGGATGAATATTTTTTGGCCTTACAACTCTCACGGCTGATAATGCACTGTTTTTTACATGTTAATATGGGGTATGCTGCTTCTGATTGGTATACTACTGGTTTGGATACATGTATTTTTGGGGATGTTATTTCTTTTTGTTTCTTTTTTTCCTCTTTTTTTTGTAGAGTTGTAATGCAGAAGGAGGAACCCCTAGGACACCATGTATCTCTTTCTGTTTTTAGTGGAGATTCTCTCTCCCTCCCAAATTTTGTAACCTCTTTTTATATTAATGCGTAGGGAGCCACGAGTTGCTCTTTTAACTAAAAAAAAGACTTGATTTTGCCTATTTTGTATTGAAATGCAGGAAACAGATGCAATTAGTAAATCAAGATAAAAAATTGGAGAATGAAGCAAAATATTGTTCTTGCGCTTAGGCACAAAAACTAGTGATTTTGGAGTCAAAATATAGAGTAATCAAAAACTCGACACTGGACTTGGAGAGTCGGGGTGCTGAATTTGTATCGTTAGGGAACCCACTTGCAGCGCCTAAGCGCCAAACTTTTGAAGGCAAAATTCGAACACAAGAAAACCCAGTGCTGGACTTGGATCTCTACAGCGCCAGAATCACAGTGCCCAAGCGTCGCGATATTAACACCTAATCGTTGATGAAGAAAAATTGTAACGCCCGACACCACCTGTGGGCATTGTAGCCCCAGAGAGCGAATTTTGACAGTTTTAAGCTGTGCAAAACTTAAGTTCGGAGGGGGGAGCATAAATAGGATGAGCACGATTTTAGAAGGGCTTTTAACTAGTTTTTCCGTCGTAATATTGAAAGAGGAATTGAGCGGAAAGTCAAGAAGTGCAACCCACAATTATTTTCTTTTTTCTTTTTTTTTTTTTTTTTTATGTTGGCTAACCTAGGATTCGCGTTGGAACTCTAAGGGCTTGCTTCTACCAATATTTTGTTCTCGTTTTTTAAGTTAGTGATTTTATTTTTGTTTAAAATTTGATATTTTGTTCATGATTTATTTTGATTCCTAGTCGATCATGGTGAACATCAAAATTCTAGTTTAAATTTTTGTTTAGTAACATATTTTATTAAAATCTTCACGAGAAGCACCAACACATAAGAAGTTCCCCTCCTCTTTATTTTAACCTTTTTTTAATGCATTTACATATGGAAAGAACTACACATGATATATGAAAAACATAAAACTACCAAAAATTAACAGTGTAAGTTATTCAAAGAGGATGTGTCATCGATTGCAAGCTTGAAAAATCATCTTCATTTAATAAGCTGAGAAACTTGGCAAAACTGATGCTACAAAATTTACCAAGAAGTTTGTCTCTGAGATGGCACTTAGAAGCAAAGGAACAACATTACTAGAAATTGTTGACCGCTGACTAAAGTGTTGCCTTAATCTTTCATCTAACAAAAAATATCTCAAAAAGAGCATCAAAAGATGCGAATGAGAATAATTTGCAGAAAAAAAACCATACATGCAATTAGAGCCATCTTGGGGCAAGTATGAATGGATTATATACAAATATAACATGATGATCTAAATATCTTATACAGCACTCAATTGAAAGGATATATAAATGGAGCCCAATGCGTTGAGCTTCTTAACAATGATAAATAATTAAAGATAATATCTAATGTATGATCTAAAAAAACTGAAGCAAAAGTTCCGGTGGAAACTTATTGGCTTATGAAAGAGAACTGAAGCCCTCAACAGGTTCGGATTGTTCTAGCAATGAAGCCGCCTGGAAACAATCCGCAGCATCATTCAATCTACCATCATGCTTATGAACCACACCGAGGTAATACCACGCCATCCGATTGGTTGGCTCGAGTTTCAAAGCATCAGAAAGGAATGATCTTGCTGCAGCTAATGATTTTGAGCCCGATTTTAATAGAAGAGAACCAATTGCCACCTTGCATAATGCATGGTTACCATCAATTTGTAGACCATTGCTGTAGGCAGCCATCGCTAGATTGGTCTCACCAAGTGCTTCATGCATGCAACCTGGTTAATAAGAGAGAAAAGTAGTTGAGACTGGATTCATGTTACAATAGTGAATTTAATTATAACTCAAAGAATATTAAATCCTAAAATAATCTTCTAATTGTTCATTTGTGGCTAATTTAGCTGCATTTTTTTAATTTAAGCTCTCAATTATAAAAATACCATACCAATTTAATCCTTGAGGGCCATTTGTAATTAAATTGAGGAAATGTAACACCCTGTGATTAAATTGGCAAAATACTAGCTGATAAATAAGTATTCTTGTTAAGATGGAGATCTAAAAGTTGATACATTTTTTTATGGACAACTTAAAGAAAAAAGAAAATATAAAGCAGTCACATTAAACATTGACCATCTAATGACCTAGTTAGGAGAGTACATGTTTCAGATTTGACTTACGTTCTGAAAGATAGAGGTAGACATAAAAAAGTTTGAGCATATTGTGTAAAAAATGATCTTAACTTGTTAGAATTAAACAAAAATGTCACTCAATAGGATACAATAGAGAAAAAAGATTCATATAGCCGACCCTACTTAATGGGATAAAGGCTTCTTCTTGTTGTCACATGCTGAGCCTAAAGGCTTCATTATTACCTTCAGTTTGTAGCGGGGAAGCAGAATATGGCTTCAATTCCCTGGCTTTTTTGAAACATATCTCAGCATCCTTCCAGTGAGAAAGTCTAGAGTATAGGTTTGCAAGACCTTGCCAGATCTCAAATTCATTGGATCTGTCATCCTCAAACTACATAGAAAAAATAGATAATCAATGCACTGCATAGCCTGCCCCAATTAGTTGGGGCATTTTTATTGATGAAGATGAATCAATACAATGCACCACTAAACTTCCAAAAGAAACAAAAAATACCATCAAACTTTTGTCCTAACTCATATGAACAAAAATATAGCATCAAAAAGAACAATAACTCAATTAGAACAAAAAGGGAACATTTACATACAAAACAACTAATTCCTATGTTACATATCTAACACATAAACTTTACTTTATACATTTATACCACCCAAAACTTTTATATCACATAAAAAATACCACCATTTTAACTTTTAAAAAGTGAAATACATATTTTCATGCATAGGAAGATAGATATTGAAACCTGAGAACTAGTTTTGGAAGACCCAGATGACTTTCTTTGTGACTGAATAACCCCAAGCAGTATTTTGTATGTCTCTACTGCCTCCATATGCAAAGATTGAGCAACTTGTAGCTTTGCTTTTATTCTTAGCAACTCCAATTGCTCCACCTTTGCAGTCTCATCCAATGCTGCATCTATCACAACTTCAGCCTCTCTGTATCGTTGTTGAGCCGACAAAATCAACGCAAGCAATCTCCAACCTCGTGCCATTGATCCACCTGTAGCATCAACAAACTTTTTTGCACATCTCAATGCAGCATTCATATTATAATGTTCTGCATATTCAAGGCCGAGATCGTATATAAGATCAGGATTACATCGGTCATGAAAAACTGCCGCTTCTAACGACTTCAAAGCTTCAGCTTTGAAATGAGATCTTTCCAAATCTGAGGAAGCACCTTTTGCTTGTTTACTCAAACAAATGCCTCGAATATTGAGAGCAACACTCATTAGATGCACATCAGTTTCCCGTGCAATTTCTAAGGCCCTCCCAGCAAATTCTACACCCTCAGAAGCAAGAACATAATCTTTGCTGCAAATTTTAGCAGCCAATAGTAATGCTGCAATGTAATTTGGTTTTTCATGCTTGCTTATAGACTTCCTCAACAAGTTTAAGGCGGTCATGTCCTGTCCTGCTACACTATAGCAGAGAGCCAAAGTATTCCATCTATGACAGCGATGATACATTCCAGGTTTATGTTCTTCAAACTGTTTTGCTAGCAAGGAAGTCTGACCACATATACAAAGCGCATAAGTAAGGTGTTCCATTAGAGATGGGTCCTTTGGGATCTTGCCAAGGAGCCATTTTTTTAGTAGAATCAATAAAAGTAAAATAGCCTCTTCAATATTGTTCTCCGGGATGAACATACCATCATTTTGTGTAACCAAGCTTGGAGGATTGGCTTCTACACCACCATATAACAAGAGCAATACAAATCTTTTCTGTATCCTCGCGCAGCTCTCATCATCCAAATTCCATTGATTATGAAGAGCGCGTCGGTAGGAAATCAGAGATTTTTTAATCTTCCCAGCTTGTTTCAATAGTTCTGGAAGGAGCTCTACAGCCTTGCTAATGGTTTCCTGCAATTTAATGTCAATCAGAAGTTCTGGGGTGCCATTCTGAAACATCTTCTCCACAGAATCAAGCAAATAACTACATTCCTGAGCCGCATCTGTATTCACCAGGAAATATGCATCACTAACTTGGGTCGTCATACAGCAGAAGTGAGAAGAGAAATATCATGATCAATAAGCATAATGGAAAGATATAGTCGCTCAAATACCATTAGGTTTGCCAATCTTCTGCAGAGAGGCAGCCTTCAAGTACATTGCTTCGAGAATAAGGCTAGCACCAGGTTGTGAATTCATTTGTAATGATTCAGCACGAGAACGAGCTCTCCTTGAGGAAACCTTTTCCGAAGAAGAAGGTTGCAGGCGCTCAATTGCAGCTTGAAGGTCTACTCCATGGAGTACTTGAAGTGTGACTTCTATGTTGCCTCTCTGGTATTCAAGCCGAGCAAGAAGGGCCCTCGCCTCCTGTGATATTTTGGAAGACACAAATTCACATAAGATTTGGTAGTCCGGACAAACAAAACACAAACTCTCTAAACATGCAAATACAATATTATAAAAGGATGAAAAAAATTGTGATGGAAATGTTGGATGATCAACATAAATCTATTGGGACTAGATTGACATGTGAGTTAAATCTTCCACTTAACATTTGCATTCACATAAAGAAACACCAAGGATGACCACTCAATCTTTTTGGATGTTAAAGGGTTCAAACATTTATAAGAACCAACAAAAGTGAACTCTAACACAGCCTAAAATTAAATATGTAGTATCTAGCCATAAAATTAAAAAAAAAAAAAAAATTATAAAAGCAAGGCAGCGGCTAGGGAACAACCAGCAGCAGTGCAAAAAGCAAAAAAAGGCAGCAAGGGAAGGGTCTTCAGTTCAGCAATGGTGCCACAGGAACAGCAGAGGGGAACTGGGATTCTATAGTGAACTTGACTGAGAGAAGTTAAATGAAAAGAAGAATTACTTAGCGAAGAAATTCTGGTTGATGTTCTGCAGAATTTCAAGTTTCTAAATTTGTATTTACAGAAGGGATTGATGTAATCCATACCCGAATACTCCATCAAAAGAGAAAAACTCGATACATAATAACAATCAAGATAAGCCCAATTTGCAATGATAACTTCAGCACAAATCATCCTAATCCTGGATTAGAAATTCAAAACGAGCTTATCCAAATAAGAAAAAAAATTCAGACTCATCGTAAGTCACTGTAATCAAAATTTTGATACAGGGCCTTGATGTCTGGATGATGATCCGATGATGCCTATGAACTTCTGGTGATGGCATATTTGATATTAATGGTATGTTCATAAAATCACTGTCTTTTGTAACTTTTAGGGAGATATTAAACCATTAAAATTTTAACAAACATCAAATATTTTGAAAATCTTATGCCCAAATTGTCATCATAGGTAATCAAGTTCATTACCCAGATCCAATTCCTAGATAATATCATGAAAGAATGATAACAAAGAAAAATAATGGTGCTAAAGAAGTTAATAAAAAAAGGAAGTATGAGAGATGCATAATTTTTCAATCCTTCCATCAAGATGACAACTTGCAGTAGCTTATTAATCAAAATAAATCTAGTGCTACAAATAATAAAGAAGGAGCCAGCTCTTCCGCTCACATACCATATATTCTCCCTAGATCAAAGAAACAAAATCGAAAAAAATATCAATTTAGTTGGTTCCAAATCACAATACCTTCTTTAAAATTCATTCCCAAGTGCCTACCAAATTCAACTTCATAGATACCAAAAAATCAATCTATCGACCAAAGCCAAACATTTTCCATCCATGATAAAATAGAACTACCTTTCAAAAATATAGATGTTGTGGATCCATAAAGTTCATCAAGCCTAGTCAGAATTTACCTTTAATTTAGATATAAATCCCATGTTCTCATAAAAAATACCAAGTGATTAGCCTACTATCATACAATTAATTTTTTTATTGAGAATGAGTTTGACCAGGGATTACTATAGTAATTTATTTTGTTAGACCAAATTTTGGTTTTTCCTAATCAATAATCCCTAAAGCAACTGGTCCACAAGATTATTATAGTGAATAATATTGATATTGATGTGTGTTGGACATTCGAAAGAAATAGAGTGGAATGCAACAAACCAATCTAACATCCTTGATTGATACCTAAACGTTTTCTATAAATGCAAATTATTGTCCCTTTGGAAAAAAGAATGAAAATAAAAATCACAGATAGAATTAAGATGGAAAAATGGAGATGGGTCCCTTGATTTAACATATGTCATCTCCCTCTATCATCTAAGCAGTGTAACCACAAACATTGTGCCAAAAAAAAGCAGAAAATTTCTTCTAAAAAATAGACATCAATTATGCATCAGATATTATGCTAAGAATAATCAGTATTTCATTGCATAATCGTTATGCAAAAAAAAATTTTGATGAATGAAAGCCTAGTGTATGTTAACTATAACAGTATGAATGTTAAGAAGGCATTTCTGTTTTGCCTGAGACTGGTTGGTGGATGCACTCAACAATACAAAGGGTTTGCCTTAGTAAGACTAAGGGA